CAAGTATCAGTAATTCAGTATTGTTGAGGAGTGTGTTAGTTCTTTATGAATGAAGTGGTTATGTGAAATGTGGAAATATGTGAAAACATGCACATTAGGAAACGTGACAGGACTTGAAAGCAAGGATTGCAGGTTTAATATACCATATCATACGACATTGTCCTGTATAGTTTTACTTTAATGTTCTTCACAGACTTCATAACTATGTTACAGTGACTCCGTATGTTTTGAAATTAGCAAGTTTGTAGAACTTGCAAAACTTCTACTAAAGATGTAAAAGAATTTATCCCACGGAATCACTGACATTAATCAGTGAACGTATGAAATTAATGCTTTTATATATAATATTTACTAAGTAAAACTATTTATTATGATATTCATATTATATTAATTATTAAAAGAAAAATGTTGGTATACTATATTCAATATAAAGATTAAATCTTTTTCAAAATAATATATGAAATTATAATACATATTCATCACTGTCACACATTCACTGTTACATATATGATATCTTACTGGTTTGCAAATGTCGTTCATATGTATGTGTGTATATTTATGTATATATAAGTCAAATATTAATAAGGCATCAGAAAATTGAACTTAGAAAGTTAGAATCAATAGGTTAATTGAGTACAGCTCAAAAACAGCCAACCCTCTGGAAGTAGGAATTTACTTTTCGGATTACGTTTTTTTTTATTAGAGCATTTAAAATCTTTCTTTTTTTAGCAAAAAGAAGTAAAAACATGTATATATATATAAAAGAACATAATCCGAATGTATTCCTATGTATCTGAGCAGCTGGTTTACTCTCTTAATTTTTATTTAATTTTATTCATAAATATTAACATTCAACATTCAATTGTATTTGTAACTAATTCTGCAATAATTATTTAAAATAAATACTTATGAATATTCGAATTCATAAGTAAATAATTTAAAAAATAAAGATGTCGCTGATCTGCCTGCAAACCAACGCTCACAATTTGCAGTATTAGTCATAATTATAATATCTATATCACATCAACTTTGTATCATTTAATTTACATATAATGCTAAATTAGTATTATACTACGATAATAAATAATATAAATTTATGTAATCTAAATAAAAAATTTTTATAAGATTACTTAAAACAGAATTTAAACAAAATTTTATAGGAGGTATGGGTAATTAAAACTTCGTGTCAGGTAATTTTGAAAACCTTTTCAATAACTGGTTATTTTAAAAATTCGTCCCATATGTATATGGCTTAAAACATCTATTTTGAATATAAATTTTATCTTTTTTAATAATATTACAAAGAATTCATACAAAGATTTTACTAATTTATTTAAACTTATGTTTATTAATATCATTAATATTTATAAAATTATTTCACGAAATAACTTAATTATTTACTGTTAATATTGGTATTTCGTTTTCTAAAAAGAAAACATCTTTTTAATTTTATATATTCTTTAATTTCTAATGAAAAATAATACTAAATAATACTGTATGAAATATTACTTTTTGATAAAATGTAAATTATAAAAATGTTTGATACTGAAATACATGCGACATATTACTGAATTTTAAAAGTCCTAATGATCCAAAATTTTGAGATAGATTTAAAGTTATGATAAAAAATTAATCAGACAAAAAAAATAGAACAGCAAATGTTAAATGAATTTTTATGTTGTTTGTTTGCCAAATACATTGGGACGGTAATAGCAGAAAATCATCTGCTAATCATCGTAAAAAAGAGAAATTAAATTCTTCAATATCATCCTACACAGCGATAAGCGCGTGTAAGTTCTTTTAGTAATAATCAATAAAATTACCGTATCCACTGTAGTCGTAACCACCATAGCCGCCGTACCCACCGCCGTAATAATCGTAGCCTCCTCCGTATCCATCATAGCCACCGCCGTATCCGCCTTGTCCGTAACCGCCGCCATATCCACCTCCGTATCCGCCTTGCCCCCAACCACCTTGACCACCAAAACCACGTCCTCTACCACCTCTGCCGCCACGACCGCCTCGAGCACCAGCACCGCCACGCATACCTCCCATGTCATCCCGTTTAGGTGCTGCTTTTTTCACATCAACCTATTTTATATATTCGAATGTATTTAATATTTCATGAGCACGTGAAATCCTTTTTTTTTAAATATTTTATTTATTAATATGTAATACCTACTTCTTTACCATTAATTGTCTGTTTAGGTGTCTTTAACAATTCATTCACTACTTGTTCAGAATCAAAAGTAATAAAGCAGAAACCTCTCCTTTGATTCTTTGTTTTATCAAATGGCATTTCCACTTCAACAATCTGTAACAAACATTTAACTTTTTTACTTTTTTAAAATTTACAAATATATATTTTATGATAGTAAACTAAAGAAACTAAAATACTCACTGTTCCAAACTGAGAAAAGAAATGTTTAATATCTTCATCTGTTAATTCTGTCGTAAGACCACCAACAAAGATTTTTCCATGTCTAGCTTTTGCTTTTTTTGGATCAACTTTCTTATTATTAATTACATGATCGCCAGCTGCCATAATCTGTTAAAAATATTAATAATTTTCATGAATATTTGAATAATTTACAATTTCAATAATTGATTTTAATAATTTATTTTCAGAAGTGGAATACACATCAAATAAACTCAGTAGCAGAACTGAAATAAGTATCATCAGATCAATTTTACTTTAATATACAACTAATTTCTTTAGATTAGTAATTTTACCTTATCCAACGACTCGGCTTTTGCAAAAACGATAAAAGCGAATCCCCGCGATCGTCCAGTATTAGGATCTGTTTTGACATTGATGCTTTCAATATCTCCATATGTACCGAAATGATCCCTCAATTCCTCTGTAAATTAGTATATTACTTCTTTAAAAATTGAATTTTTTAATTTTTTATATTGTCAAATTTAAATTTAAAACTCAGTGCATTTAAAAAAATTTCTCATATGACATATGTCATCTGAAGGTGTCCTAAGAGAGTATATCATCATCATAAGTAGGACTATAATTTTCAAAATACAAAAAAAATACTCACTGTCAGTAGTCTCCCAGCTTAATCCACCAACAAATAATTTCCTATAAAAATAAAATAAAATTTAAATTAAATCAAATAGTTTTTTTGAATAGTTTTTTTAATGAAAATTAAATTGAAATATGAATTGTTGAAAATTTTGTAAATACATAAAATTTATAACTATTAATTTATGAATAATTCAATACTAGTCACAATTTATATTCTAATATATATCATACTCATAACTATTATTATAATGCTAAAATTTGCTAAAACACTTTCGTGTAAAAATTCAAAAATAAAAAAGATAACGAGGAAAGAACATACCTATCATTTAAAGAATCCTGGTTACCTCCAGTCGACCTGCAAAAGCAATGTAGTATATTTTATTACAATGTTTTTTGAAATTTATATTAATTTTTAGGACTAAGGTTGAAGCAAAAATTTAAGTTTTGTTACAAGTTATTTCCATTTATATTTGAAAAAGGAGTTTGACTTGACCCCTGGAAAAATTAGAATAAAAGTTAAAATATTAAAATTTAATATTGACAATATATAAGAAATGCAATAGTAGTATATCATTTGGAAAAAGGGCACTGGATAAACTTTTAAAGACATTTTGGTAAGGAATTTTATTCAATAGGTAATGTATGCAATTTATTAAATGTTTCTTATGTATATAAATATAAATGTACTCATGTATAAATGTAATCTACAATTGATTAAGTGACCTACATTAATGTCTACTTTAAAATTTGGAAGAAAAACTTTGCAAAAATAAAATTATCTTAATTTGATAGTATTAATAACACGAAAATACCTAGAATAAATTAACTCACTGATACAATCTTATATGAAAATTATGTCCTTAGTAAGAAACAACCATGAGAAGACTGCTTTGCACACCACATAGACCTTGATTTGAACTTTAGATAAATGTGTTTATCAACAAAAATTAAAGGAAAAAACTTGGAAAAAAGTAGATATGTAAAAATTAACGCATTGAGAGAGCAAAGTTTTTTCACGATGTTCATGTGAACCCGAACAATAGTTATAACTCCAGTTGACATACAGCTGCTCCTAAAGGAAATAAAATTTAACTTTTCCAAGTTGAACTCTGACTGCTGATTGGCCCAAAGAATTGACATATGGTAGATAGACTGCAACTCTATTAAAAAGCTAAAAAAATTGTTTCCATATACAAGTTAATGATGGTCACTTCTTCATACTTTTTAAATATCTATATGCACACAATATTTTATGTTTATTTATATATGTATATTTATATTTCTCTCTTTTTGTTTATTCATCAGCAAAATATTATATTTCCTGATATGCTTTTCAGCCTTTTCATATACAAATATAACAAGCTGCAATATTTTTCACTTTTCTGGCAGTGTGATGATAGTTGTCTGTACTTAGATTGATCTTTTCATATATCATCTAGGGCTGGTGATAAATACCGTAGGCACCAGTCACTCGCCGGTAATCAGTTGTTGGTCGGGTCACGGTTAGCCGGTTGCGAGCCGCCCGCCATAATCGCACTGGGTCGTTTGCCACCTGCAGATCAAGCCACATAAACTGGGTTAATGGCATTCCGACCTATCGGAGTTTTTCGCATTGGCCCTAGTGACTCTGTGCTTTGATCACGCCCAAACAGCATTGACATCTGATCAGAAATTACTCTACGCGTGACCCAGCAGGCAAGTGTGTGTCTGTGCGAGACTTATTGATCTGACGTAATTGACTCGACTTCCAGTGCTTGTGTTGTGACGAAACATGACGGACTTGAACTTGACGTAGACTTCTCACAATAATTCAGACTCAGAAGTCAATCATAAGGCTTCACGGTTCAGTTCACAGATCCCAGGTAAGCGTACATATTGTCAATCATGAAGAATTGACTAACCAGAATTCTGCTGCAATGAATGAATGAGGAAGACTCAGCTGGCCAAAAATGTATTTCAAAGTTTATGCTCTATAAAAATATTACAATTATTATTTGCGTAATATATAGAAATTTTTATCATTGATGAAATCACAACTTCTCTTTATCAATTACAAAACTAGAATAGAATTAACTAGGAAGGAGAGCAGAAATAAGGAGTTTACACAAAATTACAAAATTTTAAACAGATAAACGTATACCTCGCAACAACAGCACATATAAAGTCATAATACTTATAATTCTTATATGTATATAGTTACCTTATCATAATTTTGCAATAAAGAACATGCAATATTTAATTTTGTCTTTTGTTTTTACTTTTATATTAAATTTATATAATAAACTAAGGAATGCCAGCTTTCAGTTATTTATTTTTGTTACCTCATGCATAGATATCACGTCCTTCAACACACATTTGTAGTTTTATACTGTTGGGGTGAGAGGAAGCACACCTCCAAATTCTTTATTTATCTTATATATTGCAATGGTACATGAAAGTGATTTTATCCTTTTTCGATTTAATGTCTACGTATATCTTTTGGTTACATAAAAATGTAAATATTCATACACATTTTACTAAATTTGAAGGTTACATCTTCTTTCCCAATATCAATTTAAGTATTTCTACAAGTTACAATCTAAAGTAGCTTACCCATTTTGCAAAAACATACCCCAAACTATGTAAAAGTTTGTGACAATCCAAAGCTGTAGGGATACAAAGAAAAAAAAGTCGAATCCCTTAGGTATAGAACTAAAAATGCTGTGATAATAGTAAGAGAATAAGAACGAACGTATGCGATATTACAAAATATTTACATAGACTGTGTCTGTACATCAATATTGACATCTAAACTCGTCGATGAGCAAACCGTCCAGCTTGAGATCTCGTTACGCTGAAAAAGGGGAAAGGCAAGGTGCTGTGCCACCAGCCACCAAAAATCCTTATAATCTATAAATATTTCTAATAAATATCACGACAATACTAAATAACCAATGATCATTGCGCATTACCCTCCCTGAATAATCTACATACTCATATTTACGTAATATGTATATAATTCAGTGTTCTGCTTTGACGCATCCAATGCGTGTTGTGTGTGAAGAACACGAGGACGTGATACGATATATAATGATAACAAAAAAAACCGAAAAAAAACGAGCCCAAGCAAGGTGTATCAAATCTATGCTTAAAATTTCTCGGTCTGATATAAAAATTTATTTTCTCATACATTCACTTTGCAACAATGCGTGGGCGCGCCCTTTCTGAACTTGCGGCCGGCATTCCTTTCAATTTGACCGACTCACTTCCTTCTTTTTTTTTGTTACTTATTGTTCTTTTCAGAAAAAAAGATTGATACCTAGGATTTCTTTATACCGCAGCAATGCAAAAGAAGTCAACTGCAATATTAGGAACGCTCGCTTTAGAATCGATGGGAACGGATTACAATTTTCGGGGCCTCGCGCATCCGCCATTTTGTCATCGCGACAATCGTATCGCACAAAGCAACTCTCGTTTGGAAGCTTTACTATATATTCCCGCACGTTCAAAGTACCAAATGAATCGAAGTCGATATTTTCGTAAAATAACGATTGATTTAACTGCAAGATCGAAATTTAAGATGAAAAGGGTTACCTGTCCTCTTGCGATTCTTGGCCATTTTCTGCGGCGTCCCCGCCGCCGTTTTCAGCTTCGCCGTTCTGCTCGAAGTTTTGATCGGCAATATCTTCGCTGAAGTCCTTGTTCTCCTGATCGGCCATTATTTATTTTGTTTTGTTTTAACTATTTTAAAACACTTAAAACACAATATGTAAATCGCGTTTTAACGAATAATTAAATACACTACACGACCTAACAACACTCTCACGTCCGCACTGCTCGGCCGCCGAATGGAGAAGAAAGAGGTACAATTTACGCTCCGTCTGACTCAGGAGATTCCGCGCAAAGCATCATGGACTCTCATATACTTCCCCCCTAATCCCGTCTCTCAGCCAATCAGATTTCAGCACTCAGTATCGTACCTATAATATTCGATGCCAAGTTAGTTCGCCATTTCCGAAAATGCGTTACTTCAGCGTTCTTTACGTATAGCAATCGGAAAAAAGAAATAATGTTTTTCCTACATTCTACATTATTTGTTGCAATTAATCTTTGAGAATTGGTTGCTTTAAATTTAAATAAAATCAAATAAAGTTCGAAAAATTGTAAAAAATAGATAATATGAAAAATAGCATGATAAATGTTAATAAATCTTATTTCATAAATTGACCATCTATTTTACTTCAATCGGTGAAATTAAATTTTATATCAATTACGAAATAAAATGTATTTTATTTTGTATCTGAAAGCATGAAAAATTATATAGTTTCAGATAATAACGCATCGCTAATATTTCATAGTAATGTTACGGTCCTGTTGCATCAATCGATGTTGCCGAGTATTTCAGTGATGTTAAGAGGCAATAGTGAATACAATGGCATGCATACGAAAATTTTAGCCTCGCGTGGGGAATGGAGCGAAAACGAAGAGCCAATGAGATTCGTAGCAAGTGCTGAGTAATACATATCAGCCAATAAGAATTCGGTAAAGATCTGGCTCCATTCGGCATCATTTCCCAGAATTCTATGCGCGCAATTTGTAAGAAATCAATAAAATATTGCTTTTAAGTTATATTTCATATTACTTCTTCGTGTTAATTTACATTATTATATTTTTATTCTTTTTACTTAATTATTATTCATTATTTAAATATCTAAATAAAAAAGAGAATTCCATTTTCCAGTTGATGCCCAATAAAAGCGGGAAATGTTTACCGTTGATCCAACGTTCTTATTGTAGACGCTAGCAGTTGGCGCTAGCGTCAACTTGGATGTTACTTCGTTCGTTCAATGGTCTATATTGTGTATATACATGTGCTATACATATATATTTATGTTTATACCTATATTTATACATATTACATTATATATATATTACATTACATGTATTATAAAATTACAACTTTACAAGACTGAAATAGTTGCTTGAACTTTTTAATTGAAGAATGTATTTATATATTTCAAGGTGTTTGTATGTTATTTATTTGTTATTGCAATAACAATAGTTGTTAAATATTATTACTATTGTCAATCAACTAATGCTTATTTAATCGCTTAATTTAATAAGTGTTTTATTTATTCAATTAAAATGTATATTTCTTGAACAATCAGTATTAAATATATTAAATTTAATTTATTTAATTTTATTTTGTGAAGCGAGTATTTTACATTTTTATTAACGATAATGTTTGTTTTTTGTTTATGAAGTATAGTTTATGATTTACAAAAATTTACAGATACAGAATAAAATTTTTGTAATATTTAACGTTCTGTTGTTCTTTCAGTTGTCCAAATGCCTAAAGAGCAGAAGGTAAAACCAAGATTTTTCTCACATTTAAGATAATATTACAGATGAAAAATACATCCATTTTAAATGATTTTTCACGATGAACAAATACTCTCTATCCATAGATTTTGAGGCTACAAGATGTTTGGCGTACTTGTAATAAAACACGAGCGGCGATATTTCGCGTAGGTTTTAACTTGTGGGATTTCTACAAACCGTTAGATCCTAATAATAATTGTTTAATTTCAGGTATAGTTACACAATTTACATTATTCAATTAATTTCAAATTTTCACTTTTTCATCATAAATAATTTTAATTGTATTTTTCATGATTATTTCATGATTTTCGAATTTTCATATTAAAATTTTATTTTGCTTAGTATTAGTCATCTGTGTTTTGATTTTTAGCAAATATTTAGTATTTACAGACATATTGTTCCACAAATGTTGTGAATGATGATTATGAATTATATAATGTGGTTAATATGCAGAATCAAAATTTATTTCTGTATTGGCTGGACCGCTGAAGGATCAAATTGGTTTATCTGATAAAGAGATTTGCGATTTGGCCGATTATTTTCGCGTTCAAGATGGCCGAATATTTTACGCACAATTTTGCCAAATAATTCACGATAGTGGTACGATTAATTTATAATTTTTTACACATATATATTATAATATTAATATATAATATTACAAAAATATTAAATTTTCTATTTCATTGAAGATTACAATGTTAGAAAGAAGAAAATTTCATTTTACTAGCTTATTTGAAATAGCTAAGCAAAATGGTACAACACTAAATTTTAGAATTTGAAAAGAAAGGTAGTGTGTTTCGAAAGAAAGGAATTCCTATTTATCTGGCATACTTGACCAAGTACCGTTAAGTAAACTCATTGTCCAGGCAAAATTTCTTTCTTCTTCCAAATATTCGTTTGCAGTCACTATCTAAAACTATGGATTCCCATCGAAACATACTGATATCATATCGGTATTTTTCGATTAGATTTTTATAACGTTTTGTTATCAATATTAGCAAAATTATATTAAAATCGAGTAAAAAGTAATGTTACAATTTACAATATTATAATTTATAATCGTTGAAATGTTTCATAAAGCAATACTGTAACATCATTCGGCACTCTATTTTCGAAACGTTGCATACATACATATTGCATTCTTTTTTATATATGCTTGGTAATAAAATGAATGTGTATGTATGTATGTATGATAAATGAAGATTGATTTTTAAAATCGTTGTCGAGAACGTCGAGATGTATCAGTCTGATGATCAAAACTTGACAATATTGTGGAGAAAGATTTTTGCAATTTATTAAATATTTACATACTACTGAATTATTAGATATTTCTGGTAATATGTACATTGGTTTCAATCTGTTGGAGTAATACCAGAAAATATCGAAATCATAGATTTTAAGTTATATATAGAATAAAACTTTATAAAACATTGCTAATTTTCCTGTAGTTCCTGAATTTGATAAGAATGGACCACTTGTAACTGGTTTGGAGTGGGAAGATCCAGAGCATGTAAATCGAATAAGTGCAACGGAACATCGAAAATTATGCCTTATACTTACTCAGATTGCAGTCCTTGTAAACAAGAGAAAATTGGTGTTGAGACCTTATTTTCAAGATTACGAATTGGTGCGAAAAATAATTTTTCACTAAAAAAAAAAAAAAAAAAAAAATATTGACGCATCTTTTTTATTACATAATTTCATCACATTTTATTACATAATCAAGTGACAAATGTCAATTATTTATTTTCTAGATTGCAAAAAATGCTGGAACTATAACTTTCACGCATTTCGGACGAATCTTACAATTTTTAGGTATCGTTCTTGCTTCTGAAGAATTTTGTTTACTTGTAAAGAGGTTCGCAAAGGATGCTTATACAATTAACTATGTGGCCTTCTTGAAAGCAATTGACGAAATTCAATCTTACTTTGATAAACATCAAATGCTGGCCCTTGGTGGAGTAATACTTTATCTTGCATTATATTGTTTAACACCATTGATTGATTTATTTGTTTTATCGTCAAATATATTTTTATTATATATTACAAAATAAAATTGTGACAAATATTATACCTTATTTATTCAAAAGGAATTACTTGATCAATTTCCTGGTCGAATTATCACGGCTGAATTACCGAAACTGCCAAGACCGGAAATTGGTAAAGTCATGCCGAGTAAAGTGTTTGGGAAACAAGCAGTGTTTCATCCGGTGATGGAAGAACAAAGAAGTAAAATGCCATTAATAGAAATTATTCAGCGTATTCAAAGACATATCTTTGAAAATCGGATATGTATTGCGGAATTCTTTAAGGTAACTTTAAAATTATAGTTAAAAATAAAAGAATAACAATTACAATTAACAATTATTAATAGAACTTCGATCCTTTGAACGCGGGCAAAACGACGATTTCCAATTTTAAAAGAGGATTAGATGGCCTTCAGATTTCGAGTTTAGGACACCTTTATCTTGCAGAAACGGAAATTGATGCGCTTGTTACGCTTTATAAAGATCCAAATGACCCGGACCGTGTTTGTTGGCGAACATTTGAAGACGATATCGATAAAGGCATCCCTCGAAAAGAATATTTAACTTTTATTTTTCTTATTTATCATTATTGACTATGAACTTTGTAAAGTTAACATTTTACGAGCTGTTTCTGTTTCATTTGTAGTGTTTACTGTGAAAGAACTTGAAAAGTTGCCCACTTTGAAAGTTGAAGCGCCGCCAAAAAAGATAGCGGAACTAAGTCGTAAAGGAGCGTCTCATTGGCAGTGTGAAGGAAAAGACATAAGGGATCTTTGTGAAAAAACATTGTTGAAAATTCGACATCGAGTCGAGGAAAGGAGAATTTTGATAAAACAATTTTTCAAGGATTACGATCGGTAAAAATGAAAATTCTTTTCAAACATTTCTTCTCACCATTTTCTTTTCGTTTCTAATAATTTTTCAGACATAACAAAGGTCACGTATCACGTTCGCAATTACGCCAAGTTTTAAGCACCGCGGCGATATTACTTTCTGAAGAAGAAGAGTTCGCATTAGAACGGAGGTATAATAATGATTTAGGCTTTAATTATAATTGGTTCTTAAAGGAATTGGAAGCTCAACGAATCGAAGAGCCGTTGTATCATTCCATAGTAAAAGAAAAAAGAAAAATCAACGCTGAAAAACCACCACCGGAAGTCACAGCTGAAGAAACAAATATCGTTTTAATTCTAGCTAAAATCAAAGCAAAAGTTGTACGCGAAAGAATAAAGGTAAAGCATAGAGTATGGTTATTCTTATATATTTCCTTATATGTTTCCTTCTTGCATTTTTCATCTGTACTTTTATGGGAAGGTTATCGAATTCATGCGTCAATATGACGTTCATAATGAACACGTTATAAAAAGGACAGAGTTTCTACGAGGGCTGGATCAATTACGTTGCAATTTGACTTGCACAGAAATGGGAACTATTATGAATATTTTCCAATCACCTTTAAGGTACATAAATACCTAGATAATTTAATTGGCTATTTCGATTGATAATATCTACCAGATTATTGTTATTTTACATTAAAGACCAGATTGTGTAGACTACGTGAAATTTGCGGAAGTGGTCGAAGAAGCTGTTACTTTAGGAAGATTAGAAAGAGCTCCACGTTTAGTACCTGTGCAGCATGTGCCCTTGGAAGCCAGTCCTAAAACATTCTTGAATTTCGAGGAAAGGCATATGGTTACGATGGCAATAGACAAATTGAGCAGAATACAACAACCAAATCTCGAGGAGTTGTTTAAGGTTCGTAATTAGGATAATTTACGGTTATCCTAATAGCTTGCACTAGAGGTGGAGATAGCTCAGTCGGTAGAGCATCAGACTCTTAATCTGAGGGTCCCAGGATTCGAACCCTTATTCGGGCGGGGAAAAAGATATTGTCCTTTAGGACAACAGCACGAGGAGAGCTCTGTGTGTATAAAAAGGTCCCCCAGAGCTCTCCCAACGTGCGGAGGGCGGCATCGTGTGGAGGGTTTTAGTCGGTAAACATCCGACACTACCTTCCCTTAAAGACTCAGGTGTCTTATCGAAGATTTTTCTCCACGTAAAAAAAAAAAAAAAATAGCTTGCACTAACAATAAGTAAAATATTATTCAAACAGCCAAATTACTTAAAAAATTTTGCTGTTAATTGCTGTACTTATATTATTATAATTTATAAAATTTTTTAATTACAGAATTACGATAAAGAGAATATTGGCACAGTTTCGAAAGAGTGTTTGATCAAAGTTTTATCTATCAGATGTATGTTAGAATTAATCACCAACAGAGAACTGGACGCTGTGCACAAATGTTTCTCTCTAGAAAGAGATACTCGACTGGAAATTGATTATCGAGCATTTTTGCGCGCTTTATATTTAATGCAAGAAAATAGAAAGCATTTGCCGTTTTAGTTCTCATATAACATTATAATAAAAAAATAGAGATTGTTTACGTGCAATTTTAGTATCGAAATTTAATAATAATGCTAAATGTGAAATTTAATATTTAGTCGATGTAATTCGGAAAATCTTGGAATACCGTTGCATAGTAATCTACAACGGTCAAATGGTCAAGGGATTTAGATATTATTTTTCTTCTGAACTGCTGTTAAGGGTATAGAGGAATAAGGGAACATTACCTACTTAAGTAGGTATGAGCCCCTTGATATTTTGCCTTAGCAACAGACACTATTCATTTCTTGTACGAGTTATGAAACCTGTTAGTTTAGTTTTTTTTTTCATAAATGTACGTTAATCTGTACATATATCTGTACATGTAATGTTTAAGGTGGTTACATGTAATTTTTTTTCATTTTAATATATAGAAAATTGCATTATTATAGCGAGAAACATAAATTTTCATTATAATTTTTGAAAACTATAGGAAACATAAGTTGATTTATTATTCAAGAGACCATCTGATCCCTTTATCATTTTTATATCACCTACGACATCATTGATTCAATATAGACTAAAAATAGAATAGATATGACATTATGAAACATCGTGTTTCATATTTTGAACTATCAAACTCGAAAAACTGAAAGTATTTCTTGCGCCATCTGGTTTGGTCCGGCGGGTATTTAATCATTTAGTCAATGGATATATTCTGAAGTATCGATATGATGAATCACAGGTGGCGCCACATGTTATTCACGCACGTTCTATACCATCAGCTATAGTTTCAATTTCAGTTACGAGATGGCCATAGTATTTAATAAAATACGGTTTCATGTGATTCAGGATAGTGTATTTAAAATGTTGCGTCTTTATGAATGTACACTTTGAAATGGGATTTATGTATTATGATTCGACGTACTTAGGTATTTATTTGTAGCATACATAAATTTTTATATATCGTTAAATAATATGAGAGAACTAAATTCAATCTTTCTAATGGAATAGCAAAGAAGCCACAAAGAAGTTATAAACTCAACTTTTAAATAGACTTAAAAATCATAATTAAATTCGTTAAGAACCATAACTATAAAGATACTATGGTGTAGCATCAAAATACCTGACAACAAATAGAATGAATGTTGAAGTGATTATAGTTGGCGTCGGTTTTACATTAGCACGCATCGAACGCAGTAAAGTGACAATATAAACAAGTAGAAAGTTTAGTTTTACTTAACATGTATGTACATGTGTATTAAGGAAGGTTAGAATGTCACAGACGAATTTAAAATGTCATCGACCACTTTCGATCTTTCCTAACAAGTGTAAAAATTTTTTACTTCAACAAAGCGACACCGTGATCGCGTGACCGATGATGGCGAAATAGAAATTCGTAATCTTCACACGTGATCCTTCGAAAGATATTCGATCAGCGCTCGACACGATTTTTCTAAGGTGATGATATTTCTGCGGGCCAAAGGCTGCCTACGTTTGCTACGTTCAACAAGGGAAGAATAAGATGTTCTCCAAGTAGGAAGCAGTTGTCGATGGACAAAGTAGGTCACGAGCTGTGACCTCCGCGTCTTTTACACAACCTCGAGGACTTCGCTTCTCCACTTAATTACCTTCACGTCCTCCATGTATGCGACGCGGAATTTTAGCACATCAAACGTAGCTACCGTGACGAGGAAAAATATTTCAGATAATCAGAGAGAAGGATCAGGATTTCTTTGCGAAGAGGAAATTGTATGGATGCGATTAGGAAGGGAAGAAGTAATTTTATTGTATAAAAAAAAATTCGGTAAAGTAACTCATGGTAAATTCCTAGTTTATCGGCTTTCCCTATTTTAGCTATTTCGCTACAAGTTTTTATTTTTTTTTTTTTTTTTTTTTTTGAAAAGCTTCATTTTGTTTTTGAAGATGGGAAATCAACTGAGGGAAATCGATATAGTTCTTATGCTTTTTTAAGGAAAACGTTATATTATATAAAACGTTATATATTTCAAATATTTTCATTGTATCCATGATAATCAGATGAAATTGAATCAAATACGACATAATTTAAATCATATAGATTATTCTTACTATTTGCTTGCTAGCATTTTCACATAAACATTCGCACATACCAAATAGGTTTATCTCGTGACATTAGCTCGTGAATGTTTGTTTATGTTTACAACTTTTTTGACCTTCTCTGATTGATTTCTCTCTTGTTTAGTGATGAAATGAACCTCTTACTGAAGGAACGATAGCGAAATAGGGAAAATTGAGAAAAGCCGGTAAACTAGAAATTTACTTTATTTATTTATATGAATAAATAATTTAGCAATTTGATGATGTGTGGAGAAAATCTGTTTAGTAATTATAATCCTAATTAAGAGTTATACACGTTATACACCGTGCCATGTAAGTTCATGTGTACTATGAAATGTACGTGAAAAAAAATTACGTAGATAAATATTTCATAAGAACGTCAGTGCTCACGCTTGTTGAATTATATACATGTAATTATTGTAGATATATCTAAAAGTAAGCTTCTGTTCTCATGTTCCCTTGCCATTTTTGTGAAGAAGTTCCCACTATTTTTCCTTGTTCTTTTAGTGTATTTTTAATGATTTGTGATTTTGTAATTATATGGCTCGTAATAATAATTAGTTATAATTATTATTATGAGCCTTATTAGCTACAAAGTTCAGAGTAAAGAAGTTATAAATGAGGAAAACTTATTACCTACTAAAGATAATAATACTATTTTTTTTTTCATTGGTACTGCATGAACAAGAATTTGATTTGATAGATTTGAAACATCGTCGTCCATCCAGATGATATTTATTTTTGTTTCTAAGCTAGTTTGACTTACATTTACGTTTGCCTTTTACCTTTTCAGAGAGTCCAGAGAGTCATCAAAATGAAATTGATCTTTGCACTTCATTACATTTGCCTAATTGCCACTTTTGCTGCCGCTGATACCACTGCCGCAACCAATCCTCAAAACCATGTCTCACAGAATTGCCGGATTCTAAAATGTTCAGGAATAAAAATTGTTGAAGACAGTGATAAAATAGTTGTTTTACCTTATTCTATGGGTTACTTGCAATATTCTGTAATGACTGTAATGATCTAGCCTTGATCTGGAAGATCAACTAAGGACTAATTTTATCTACCCGATGAAGTCTTTGACCTTGTAAGATTAAAAGCGAACACATAATGCTCGTCTTTTTTAGCACTGATGATTTTAAAATATGAAGTTCATAAAATCCTTTACTCTAAAGTCAATAACCCAATCTTGAGTAATACGTGTTCGTTTGTAGTGAAGTGTTGTTTTACCAATTTCCTTGAATTTTCTCTGTCACGCAAAATACTTTTTTTCCTGCATTAAACCTGACTTTAACATTGGAAGAATTTCCCATGAGAGATAGAGATTACTTCATTCATCTTTGTCAACCGCTCACAACACGATATGTCATTAGTTTCTGTTTCATTAGTGGATGATAATATAGTACGCAATGTATAATAAATATAACATGTTACATGTTACAAATACGTAAGACTATTACATAAGACTATCTGTATTATTTACATGAATGAATACTATAAATTATATTACTAATCAGTGTTGTAAATTTTGGAGAAGACTTTCAAAATTAATTTTCTTGCCATGTTTGAGTAATATAGCGATTTATGTAATGAATTCTATAACGGTAACGCACAATGCACGACAGTGTGCTATGCGAGCGAGGGAGGTTGCAATCATTATTTTGAAACGCACACACAATACTCCTTCTACAAGAACATCACGTGTGACAGGACGCGTTCAGTCCAAGAGCCACGGACTCGAACTGCCCTTGATACCCGTGGAACCCGGTTCCAACCCGGTATCCTGTTACGTTCAGGAGTGCACGTGCCTATTGTCGTCTGGTGCTTCACCTGACACGTGGCAATTTTCAATTCCCCAGTTCGTACACGGGCTGCTTGACTTTTTGATGTAACACTTGACAGAGGAGCTAACCCCGCTTGAACTCCCTTCGCCTACAGAAGCATCTGGCTGTTTTATTCTTTTTAATTAGAATGCATGATTAAACGCTCGCCAACAAGTATCAAATAACATAAGAAGTTTTGATTGACAGTGAAAGTATGAAAATCAGAATGTCAAGTATCCTCCGTACAATTCTTACAATTACATTAAATAAGCAAAACACAAGATCTATGGTACAAAATTTGTTCTCGCTACATCTTACGACACGATGAAATATGATAAAACACATTGTAAAAAAAAGTATAAAGATGTTATTGTATTTTTTTTAAATAATTTATATGTTTATCTTTGGTTTTTATATCAGAAACAAAGCGAGAACCATAAATCTCTTTCTAAATATACTTGTACACAGGAAGTAGTTTTGAACAATTTATACATTTTAAAATATTAATAACAAATATTGATGAAATTCATTGTTACATGCTTTAGTAGTAAAAGTTTAAGCAGTAGGTGTACATTTAATTCTCATTATACATGTATAT